CACATATGAACTTGAAAGTATTTAGTCATAAATAAACACAATGTGAATTTTCGGGGCTATTTTTATGGAATTTTACATCTTTTTTATTTATATATGGCAAAAAGAATGCGCAACGTTAATCAAATCTGGTGTCACAATTGTTTTTTGGGTGCCGATGCTCATATTAAATAAGATATTTATGCATTTAGAATGGGCAACGGTTTCAGGTCTAGCACATTTTATATTTGATAATAAAAGTAATAAATTTCTTATCTTAAAGTAAGTACATATTAATTGAACTCAGGTCAGTTGTGTAGCTGATACTGTTGACTTAATGGAATGGATAGCCCAGCCAGCTATAGAATTTTGCAACCACAAGTATCTACCCGATTAAATCAAGCATTTGCATGAAGACGTGCTCTTATATACTTAAGTATCGCAGCCATTAAAATCTCTGTGCAGTATTTTTGAACTACACACACACTACAAGAAAAGCCATAGATTTGCCTCGAAATTTCCATTGCAGACAAGTTTTTACTTGGAGTAATCTGGCAATTCAATGATGCAATTGAATAGCTTTGGTTTCGGTTTCCTTTTTGGCTCACATTTTCCATGATTCTACTTTTATGTATTATTTCGTATTTTTCATATTTTTTATATTTATTTTTGTAATATTTTTAGCTAATTTTGGGGCTGACGAAAAAGTGGTTGGAGCGCACCTTTATTTAAATACCACAACTAAAAGTTTTCTCAAGATATTTGCAAACATCTGTTTCCTGGTTGCCTGCACACCTCCCTTGCCACCCCCTTGGCACAACCAGCATTAAAAATCACGAAGCAGTTTGGGGAACGCAAACCAAATGCGGCGCCAGCTGCAACGAAAATCGCTGATGATGAAGTTCCGATGCGGTCTCCAAGAGATTTGTTCAGCGACTATTATTTGAAATTGAGGGTATAAGCTGGAATACGAATATGAGAAGTTTAATGATTCAGAAAGTTATTTATCACAAAGAATTTTGCACTTATGGAGCATTCATTTCTTTTTTATTTATTTGATGTGGACTACGCTTTTTAGAAAAGCTTTAAAAAATACAAAGTAAATATAAACTTTCAAATTACAATTAAGTATTGCCAATATATACTGATTATCTTCTCTAGTTCTAATATTCGATCAGCATTGCTACAAAAAGAAAATTTAGTGTACTTTTAAAGTCGACTAACTTGATATCCATTTTGCTACAATTACCATTTACTTGAAGCATATATATACAATTTTCTATTTAGTTGGCTGCCGAACGCGACTGCTGCTGTTGTTCGTTTGTGCGATTCACGGTTTTTTCTTTAGCCATTTTTCCTGTAATTTTGTCACAGTGTACATTGAGACTGACAGCAGCGAGTCCTTGAGGCTTGCCATGCTTCCTGGCTAACTAGCCGGGCTACTATGTATTTTTGGTCTGCTTAGGTTTGAGCTCAGCTCACTGATTTTCTCTGTTCTGTCTGTCGTTGTATCCGTCCGTCCGTCCGTCCGTCCGTCTGACCGTCTGTCTGTTTGTCTGTCCAAACGCAACTTATTCTTGCATTTTAGTCCGCTGCTGTCCCACCTTTTGCTGCTCGGTGTGTTATTATGCTACTAGTTTTTCCTTTTCCATTTTCTAGTTCTGTGTATTTTCTTCTTTTTTTTTGCAGTAACTTTTTCTGTAGCCTGCACACAAGTTTTTCATTTGTAATTCAAGATGTCAGTCAGTTGGGAGAACCAAAACTTAATTAAAGTTCCGCACTTTTCCTGTGCCCAGGCGAGTGCAGCACTGCAGCTTTTATGTATGTATTTAGCCAGAATTGAAACGCCCACCACACACACACACTATCCAATTTATCCGTCTGTCTGCCTGTCTCTTATATAGCTGCATTTTCTTTTCATTTTTTTCTATTTTAGGGTAGGAGGCGGGCCGGTTTTTTGGGGGGGTTTTATCTTTCAGCTGCACCTGCTGCACACGGTTGAGGGATGCGATTTCCACGGATGGCATTCGCTTTAGCTGGCAGGCACTTCCATCCCGCCTTGGCCAGAGCACTTATTACATACATGTGCTTATTTTATACTTTTCACTTCTAATTTGGTTTTATGTTCATTGCTTATAAGCCACGAACAGATTTCAACTTGTTGAATTAACTGAAAAACACAAAGCGAACAATGCCATCCAGTCGACTTCTCACATCGCGTATGTGTGTTCTCGGAATAAATATGTCGGCCACTAGTTGGCACAGTTTTCTCAGCAAACCTCCATATCAATTTCACTTGGAATCTGACCAGATGAAACATCACATTTAATTAGCCAAAAAAAAAAACAGACACAGAAACAGCTGAGCACTGGACGAGGTCCCAAGGACAACGGCGGCCATCCTTGTTCATTAGTTATGCATTGAGTTTTTGGGCATCCTTATGCAGGAGCTGATGTCAACGCCAGAGCAACTTGATAACTCATATAATTAGCATATGAAGAAAACTGATTCCATCACAGTCCTTGTGCTTTTCAATGGATGTCTGGAGTTCGTTGCCAGGCAGTCATGAGGAAAATTTATTAAATTGGCCAACACCTCTCTCTCTCTCTCTCTCTCTCTATCTATCTATCTATCTCTCTCTCTTTATCCATCTGAGTCTGTTTCTCTCTGTGGCACCTGTTCATGCAAATGCATTTATATTTAATTAAATTGCTCATACGTAGGCGTACCTCCTGTGGCTAGGACTTTTCCTGGCTCAAGTCAAAGAATGCACACAGCATTTATGCAGATGGCTAAGCAAATTACATGCAATGCTACAATTAATTCAATTCAATCAACGAAATTTTTCAGTTTTACAAATTGTTGGCAAGAAATTGTTGTGAAGTAAATAAAACTTGCATTTCGAAAACAAAAAAAAAAAAAGTTAAATTCAAGTCACATGAGTAGAAAGTACAGATTTAAAGTTACTTTTAATATGCATAAGAAAAACTCGTATTTGTTTTAAATATTTTCATTTAAATTAGTCGAAGTATGTTGAAAATTTATTATTTCCCATTTATATTTATTATTCATCATAATAATCATAACAATTGAAATGAATATTGTTTTCATAATAATCATAACAATTGAAATGAATATTGTTTTCATAAGTATCAAGTAAGAAACTAGAAGAAAAACATTTATTTGTTCTTTAAAATATTATTTGGATTATAATGTTCCATATTAATATTGCTTTTACGTATTGCTAACAAGTATCCGCAGCATAAGCCAGAATATTCAACTGTCGCCGTCGATATTTCTGTCCCAGTTGTGTGGGAAACACTCGGTGCATTTCTATTAGACACCCCTTCCCTCCGTCGCACAAGGTGAGTGTAATAGTGGGGAAGCGCCAATGTCAAGGCCATTGTCACCCAAGGTGGTTGAGGGATAAGTGGGGGAAGGTCAGGGGGAAATACCGAAACACAAAATGCCAAATAGAAAGAACTATAAAATAATCCACTCGCTCGCCGAGAGCAAACACTGCCAGCGACATTCCCCCAGGGGCGGTGCTGAGCGAGAATGGAGGACAGACGAGGGGAGGAAGGGGTTCAATTGGTCTGTTGGTGGGTGGCAAGGGGTCGATAACTAAATCAGTTAAGAGAACTGCTGGCCATTGCCATTGTGGCTGCATTGGCGTCCGGCCGAAGTCGAGACGCGTCTGGTCCACACTACCCGCTTTCTCTCGGTCTCCCTCTCTCTCTCTCTCTCTCTTTTACTCTCTTTCTCTCTCTCTATCTCTCTATATGCACATTTCTTGTGTTTTGTTTATTGTGCTTTGCATTTTGTTGTGGTTTGTTGATTCATTTCGTGTTGATCTTGCTTGTGAAATTATATTTATTCATTTTACATTTCGCTTCTGCGTCGGGCGCTTATTAGTTGCAATTTGCTTGCGGGAAAAGTTGCTCGCCAAACAAGTTGAACAAATTTAATACTTAAGCACAAAGGAAGTTGTGAAAATGGGTAAAAATAAAGGCGGTGGTGGTGGTGGTGGTGGCGGAGGTGGTTCTGGTGGCGGCGGCGGCAATGTAAGCAATATTTGTGTTATGCAACTCGCGTTTTAATTGTGAGTGTAAAAATGTGATCAGTTTAGATATAGATACGATCTGATAGATTACTAAACAAAGACATAAAATACATTAGTTATTTATATGCGTATACAGGGAAGGTGAATCATGAATCCTGAAAACTTTCAACCAATTTGAATATATATTTTTGTATCCTTATTGAATCTCTGTATTATTCCGGATCTTAGAGCATTTTTAAAACAATATGCAAACATGTAATTTAGTACAGACATATTCTAAAGCATGTGAGTAATGTGCATCATAAAATTTTCCCTCTGATACGCATTATACAGCCTTGTGTTGCCCTCTGATAGATAAAGAGCACAAAAGAGACGGATCGAGAAATGCGGCAAACAGAAGTAGTCATTCAACAATAATTCTATGCAATTAATTCGACCATTATAGATATATGCATTATTCGGTAGAAAATAGCTCTTAAATACAATTTCACAATTTTATTATACCTTCCATTTATTTATCTCTAGCACAAAGTGTATCTTTAAATAAACTTATTTCTTGACAAACAATAAAGTGAACTTTTCGTATAATATTCCAATAAAACTGCCGGATTTCATAACTGTTGATTAAAACAATAATTATTATAATAATATAATACTAATAGATATGCGCACTTGGAGAGGTTCAGCAAGAAACCATTTACCATTTATAGCACCAGGAAATGCATGCAGAAATGCTGATTGCTCAAATGCTTTCCATAAGTCTTTATAATTATTTGCACTTTTACGTTTTGCGTTTTACGTTTTCCGTTTATGAAATGTAATTCCTTTTACACCTTTTGTCTACAGAAAAAAGGCGGTGCCGGCGGCGCTGGAGGTGGTGGTGGCAGTGGCGGTGGTAAAAATAAACCAGCTGCTGCCGCTGCTGAGAAAGGTGGCGCCAAGAAGGGACAAGACCAAAAGCCAGCCAGCAGCGCCAGCAAGAAAGGAGGCAAAAAATAGCATAGCAATTGCAATGACATCAAACCGCATTAAATTACAATTTTAGCATAAATATGCAACTATATTTTAAGGTTAACAATGAGATATTAAATAACGCGATACTCTCAATGCGAACGTCTTTAGAAGTTCTATATATAGTTGTATTGCGATATTTGGTATGGTTTGCCTTTGAGTCCAGCACTTGGAACAGAGCAGTTAAAACAAACACAGTCGACAGGATTCAGTGGCAATAGATGCAGTGGTTCCATGGCTTCATGCTTGACTGAGCGCGATGATGCGCATTTCATACACTTCTCTGTGGTTCCCCGTCTGCTTTCGGTCATTGCGCATAGTTGTGGCTCTAACGGAACCAATCCTGGGACATGCCAAAGAATGTGGCGGCGCTCGACTTGGATTTGTTGGCATCGGCTTTGCGTGTTTGCGACTTACGCGTTGGCGTCGTCGTCGTCGTCGTCGCTGTTGTGGCCTAATGGGCGAGAGATATGTGTGTTATTAATTAAGTGGTAATTTCAGTGATTAATCTATTAATTTGGGGCGGCGAACAGTGCGAGATTTATGGGCAACAGCAATAAACATGGACATACATAATTAGAGCTCAATTTATTTATTTTGGCTGGCAGGCTCGCGGCTAATTGCTAAAGCATGCGACTAACTGCGCGCAAATAACCAACAAAGTCATCGACTATAAATTAACATTTGCTTAACGATTTGATTTCAATAATGGAGCGATTCATCAATTAGCATTTAAGGTACTCGAACACACACAGACACTCCTCTGCAGAGGTAGGTGTTTGCTGGCTACTCAGTTGCAAGTTGGTTGGTTTCAGTTGCGGTTTTTGGTTTTTGGCTTTTGGTTTTTGGTAACTGAAGGCAAACTTTTGGCCAAGCACTTGCAAAAGGTAGAAACAGCAAGTGAGCCTGTGGCTGCTGCAGGTAATTATAATTTATTTTATGGCATTTTTTTTTTTGTATATTTATTGTTAATTGGGACACGAAAAGGCTGCTTCAGTTTCAAGTGCTTACTAATTAAAATGAGCTCTGAATTCTGTACATATTGCCGCAAGTACTCAATTATATGCATATCATTCAAATTAAAACCAATTTATTAGGAAAATATATATGGACAACTAAAATTGAGAAAAAAAAAGAAGCGAATAAAATGTTGACCAAGTAAAAATGCAAACACACAAAGCGACTGGTTGGTTGGTTTCTTGGCTAAACACAGTGTTAAGCATAAGCAGTTCAAAGCAGTGCAATGCAAGCAGCTTCCATATCTAGGGTTGTCAGGCCGCTTTCACAATACATCGATATTAATATTAAAAATAGTTGTTTCAAAAAAATTAGGACACTTTATAATTAGCACTTAGCAAGCAGAAAGTTAGCTAGAATTGAAATACAAATGTTCAACTTGCATGCAAATGAATACAAAAAGAACAAACAGCTTCATTTGCCTACCCTAAAAGGAAGAAACGATGATGAAGTACGAAAACAAAACTACAATTCAAAAAGAGCCTATAAAAGAAATTTAAGATTGAATAATAACTTCATGGTAGAATAACAATGCATATTCTTATTGATATAGTTGTTATAAGTCAGATAGATTTTGACTATGGTACAAATCTATCAGCAATATAATATAGATACTTGAATTTCTTTCTTTTTCTTTTCAACTTAAGCATCAAGATAATCTCTAAAGAATATGCATTTCATATATATATATTGTGTTAAAAAACAAAACCAAAAACTTACCTTATCGGAATCCAATGCAAGGTTCTTGCAATCAGCGCTTGTTGTTGTTGTTGCCGCCTGAGGCATGACAATGGGCAGCAGGGGAAACCACAGCGACGTGGAGCCCGAGGAGCTTAGGCAGAGCACATTGGGATCTGCCTCATGGGAGAGAGCGCTTCCACCTGCTGCCGCCGTCGCCGCATCGCCCTGTGGCACGATCATCGGTGGCGGCGTAAGGACACCAAATTCACTATGCAGCCGCGCCGTGGAGCGGGAGACGTGCGTCCGAATGTGCTCGGCGAACAGCTCAAAGTCGAAGGGATCGATGCAGTCGCGCAGGTTGCGCTGCAGCGTATGAAACTGTTCGTACATTGCGCGATCCTCGCTATTCACGCCAAACACGCGCTCCAGAAACTTGAGATCAAAGTACAACTGCAGTGCAATGTTCTGGCTGCTCTTTGTGCACTCCGAGGCTGCCAATTGCTCGTAATGGCAAAGAATTTGGGTGAGCAGTTTCTGGTTGAAGGCCTGCAGCACCTTGGGGGGCAACGTTTGCGGCACAGCGATATTCAGCGCTTCGATCAACTGATGCAAATACGTTTGCAGCGAAAGACGCGGCTGGCTGGGAATCCGTATCGTCGACTGCACATTCTGATCGTGCTCCTCGTCGCGCTGCTCGAGGATCTGCGTATGCCAGAGCTGTAATAGGGATGAATTAGAATTGCTAGGCATTGGAAAGTATTCCAAATTTATAAAGTGCTTACCGCAAAATCACGCAGCACAACATCGTGCGTGAGAACTGCAGGCAGCTGCTCCGCACAGCTGTGCGCGCCGAGCACATCATCGACAATGAGCAGCCAGAGCTGCAGTGTTTCTTGCTCGATCAGAGAACACAATCGCTGCCAGCACTGAGCGCCAACTGATGTCTGATTGCCCACCCATTGACGCCAGTTGGATGGCTGGGAGAAGCACAACTGTAAATTGGGACAGAGCTCGATCAAGGCGAGAGTATTGCGCAGTGCCTGCAGCAAGGCCTGTCGCTCCTTCAGACCCAGCGACTTTAGCTTTGTCAAATATTCCGTTAGCTGCTTGTGCGCCGTTTCGCGCAGGAAATTTGTGAGCGCAATTTTGTCCTCGATTCGCGACGTTTGATCTTCGAGGGTCGCATTCAGCTCGTGGACAATGGCACCCAGTTGGGCATTGAACTGCGCGCACAGCTCAATGGTGGCCACATCATAGCCCTTGGTGCGATTCGCCAGACGCTTGGGTTGATCGCCGAGCGCTGCAGCCAGACTCAGCGGCAGATCGTCGCTCTGCTCACGCCAAATCTGCAGCGGCGCTGGCTCTCTGCTTGACTGCACCAGACTAACCACCTGCTCGTATGTCTGCTGCATTGCAGCTGCCCAACTGTTCTTAATGATCTCACGCACGCGTGCATTGATCAACGGCATATAGTGCAGCCGATAGAAATCCAATTGCTCTGGCGCAATTTCAAACTGCTCCTCCAACGCTTTGTAGTGGCGTTTACCCGACTCGTTCGCTTCCAACGTGATGTCCTGTATGGTCTGCATGCTGCCGATCAGTGCAATGATCTGCTGCAGCTGCTTGGCCGCTAGCCCATCAATCTTGGCCAACCATTGACGCAACGCGTCGTGCAGCATCTGCTGCGTCAATTGGGGCGCCTGAAACTGTGGCCTATAACCACATATAATATCGGGCAGCAAATGCGCCAATTGCCGCTCCCCGCTGTCCATACGGCTAATGCTCGGCGGCGACGTCGGCGACATGCAATCGGTCAATCGTGTAAACAGCAGGCCATTTGCTAAAAATAAAACAAACAACAAATAAGCACCAAAATTTATGTTTGTCTTTCGATTTTCAATGGGACAGCAAACTCACTCATCAGACAGGTGTCGAAGAGCTCAATAGTGCCGCTAAGTATTTGCACGCTGGCCAGGATGCGCTCCTTGACGCGCCTTGGCTTGTCGACGGCTTTTTCGGCGCTGCTGCTCGGACTCTGCAGACAATTGACGTAGGCTGTGGCGCGCAGCTGGAGAAATGTTTGCAACACTTGCAACAAACTGCATTTGTCCAGCAGGAGAAGGCTAAGCATGCAATCGACAGCCATTTCGGCACTGAGCTCTTCCCGCTCCAGAACGCTGAGCACCGCCTGCTTTATGGTCAAGTGAAAGGGACGCAGTATTTCCCATTGCTTCAGTGCGACGGGTAGTTGCTGCATTAGCGCATTTTTGGCATCCAGCTGCAGGCCGGTACTAATGTGGCGGCTGAATGTGAATAGCTCGGTGGCGGCGTAGAACTGCTCCCGATCAATGTGCGTCCAGATGAGCTCGGGCAGGCTGCTTAGCAGCTTGGTCTGCACCATGGTGCTGTAATAGTTGCTCAGCTGCTTGCTGGCAGTACGCTGCTGGTGCAGCACCTCCGTTGCCGGCGTTGGCATCGTCCTGAAGCCCAGCAGCTGCTGTTCATTGAGGCTGCGACAATTGCCCTGGACGCAGTGCACCTGCTCAATGAGTGTGCCAGCGGATGCTTGCATCGCCGCTATGGTGTCGGCAGCCTTCAACAGATCCCGATAGCGTTCGCTGCAATATCATATAAAATAAGATTTCATTTGCAGTGCTGGCTGCCAATTTGCCACATCATTGAAATCAGTCATTACCCGACCATTGTGCGAAGTTCTTCGCGCTTGTTTTCGACCACCGTTTGGATTTTCTTCTGCACCGCATCGATCTCGGACACGCCGTGCTGCTCGAACAGCGTGTCCACATCTAATTGCAGTAAATCGGCGCTCATTTCAACTTTAATTGTAAACTTTTATTAATTCCTGCTGCTTGTTTATTGCCCTGCAGCCCGATACACTTCGATATATTGAGCCCATATGTGGTGGCCTGTCGATAGCTATCGTTTTACATGCGATATGTTAACGTGCACAGCTGATTAACGCACAATTGGTCGTAGTGGTTGGTGAACTGACTAAATGACGATGTTACTTTTATTTATTTAGAATTCTGTTTATCTATTTGTTTAATTTGAAATGCCTTTCATTATGCAGTTAGCAATCACAATGCGCTGTATTTCAGACGTGCCCTCATAGATTTCGGTGACCCGAGCATTACGATAGTACAGCTCAGCTGGCAAGTCTGTTGTATAACCCATACCGCCCAGAATCTGGATGCACTGATGCGCACAGAAGGTGGCCGTCTCAGAGGCATGCAGTTTGGCCATGGCCGCCTCCTTGGTAATGGACAGGCCGTTGTCCTTCAACCAGGCGGCCCGCCACGTGAGCAATCTGGCCGTCTCCACTCTCAGCGCCATATCCGCCAGCTTCTGCTGGATTAGTTGGAGGCGCGACAAGCGCTGCCCGAAGGCGACACGCTTATCCGCGTAGTCAACGGCCAGTTCGAGTGCCGCCTGTGCAATGCCCGTGGCCTGCGCGGCAATGCCAATGCGACCGCAATCCAGCGACTCCATGGCAATCCTAAAGCCATGCCCGGCACCACCCAGCACCTGGGACTGTGGTATGGCGACATCGTTGAGCACCAGCTGGCATGTGGAACTGGCTCGCATACCCAGTTTGTTCTCCCGCTTGGCTATTGTAAGACCGGGCACATCTTTGGCAGTCAGCAAAGCGGTGATTCCCTTATGTTTCAGCGACTTGTCTATGGTGGCAAAGACGAGCCCGCCACTCGCCTCCTTCGAATTGGAAATCCATGCCTTGGTCCCATTCAGTAGATAATCGCCGCTGCCATTCAGCTTGGCTGTGGTGCTCGCCGCACTGGCATCTGAGCCGCTACCTGGCTCCGAGAGGGCATAGAAGGCAATGTGCTGTCCTTGGGTGTAGGGCACGAGAAACTGTTGCTTCTGCTGGTCGGTGCCGCGCTGCTGCACTACACCCACATACATATTGTTGACGCCCATCAGAACGGAGACGGCAGCATCGCCGCGTGCCACCTCCTCCATGCCGATTGCATACGCCTGATAGTCCAGTCCAGCCCCACCTGCAAAGCGGTTACGGATCAGGGATAAGGTTCTCTCACAGGGGATCCACTGTGTGCTCACCGTACTCCTCCGACACGACCACAGACATGAGACCCATTTCGCCCAACTGACGCACTAGCTGCGCCGGAATCACTTCATTGCGATCGATTTGGCGCGCGTGCGGAACCAGTTCCGCATTCGCGAAATCCCGACATGTCTTCTGCAGTATCTGATGCGTTTCCGAGAGTGCGGCGACGCAAGCGATGCCTCTGTCTCTACCCCTGCCACTGTTCGTGGCCGTTCGTTGACCTTAAAAACACGCTTTGTTACAAAACAAAAAAACCTTGAAAATAATTCTCTTTTTTTACCCAGCGCCCATGCGCTTCTGCATAGCTTATGCATTGCTGTTGAGTGCGGAAATAGCCCTTATCGTCGACCGCTTGGCGAAAGGGTTCGTCGAGCACTGTTTGCCGTCACAGAAAGTAAACTTTATATGTAGAAATAAAGGTACTTGTCAACAAACAGTGGCGTCGTTGCTGGGGAACCAGATAAGCAGTTGGCAAGCAGTTGCCGGTGGAATGTACAAGCCACAAGCAGTTGATCTGTGCTGTATTTTTTAGCCTGGAAACAAACCAATTTGCTAATTGTCTATTTGATATGAAAATGTTTGTCACCTTTGACTGCTGATCAGCTATTTGAGCTATTAGCGGCGCCTCTGCGCTGCATACTTATGCAATATATATTGTTTCACTCTTTTGCATATGTATTATCTCTGTTGTGCCGTGGTGGCAAGGGTATGCCCAATTTGTTAAGCAAACTCAGGCAATTTACATTGCAAGACTTGAGTATTCGGCAAGCTTATAATCGCACATAACTTAAATGATAACTGATGGGCAGAAAGGTCAGGAATGGTAGAAATGGCAGAAATGGAAAGCGTTTCAACGTTTATTGTCATACCGCACCTGATGATTGTTTTGCATTGCAAATAAATGTCCGACTGAATATTGGTGTTTTCTATAGGCGCACACTTTTAACAGGGAATTGCAGATACCAACGTGTATTAACATAAATTATTGACTAGCAATTGTTTCTGCTTAAGTCAACGGTTAGCTATCAATTCTATTTCCGCACTTGGAAGTTCATTTCTGAAAATCAAATTCAATTTGAAATTTAGAGATGTGAAACTGAGTTTACAGTCAGTTTCAGTTAGCACAAGCGTAAAATACTTTCAATAGATGATTAAAAAATATATTTCTCATTCTGAACCCAGTTGGCCAACTGTATACTACAGCTTGTACATATTTCAATTGAGACAATCTGTAGCTTGAAAAGCACATCTCCAAAATTGTTTTTAACTGATTTTCTTTTTCTAAAACATTCTCAGACATATGCATTATCTCATTCAACACGCCAAGGTTCGCCAGCAGGCGATCAGTGTCCCCGATGGGCTCCCGGAGCTGCTGTCCGACATAACGCGTGAAGTGCTGCGCTGCCAGCCGACCAAGGACTGCCTCTGCCAGTTCATTATTGACTATCTGCACTCGGTGATCGTTGCTCGAGAGAAGGCCATGGGTGAGCTGTAAACGCGCATATTTATTAACTACCAAAGATCTGAGCAGCTTTGTCCCTGCAAAATACTGTTTAGCAATTTTCATAATCATTTTCTTTTTTTTTGTGATATTTGCAGTGGCCAAAAGTATTTTGGATCGCGCCTTGCGTCAAGTTGACAGCATTATATCGGATCTGTGCGTGTGTGATCTGTCCAAGGAGAAATCGGATGAGATGGCCCAGGTTATGGAGGATTGTTTCCGCAACTTCCTCGAGAAACGCCGCTGCAAGATGCATCGCGGCAAAGAGACAATCAAATTCTCTGATATCGATATGCTCGAGGAGCTCATAAAAAACTGCAATTTCTCTGAGCAGGAGCTAGACTCATCCCGTCCAGCCATCGAGAGCGCCTACAATCGTTTTGTGGACGCCTACATGACCGCTGCCAAAGATGCCCATGGCACCGAGGTGCTCTATCAATACTTTCGGGATCGTGAACTCATCCGCATCAGGGAGGAGTTGCAGAACAAGGCGGCCACCACCATACAGGCTGCCTTCCGCGGCTACCTTGTGCGCAACATGTTGTCGCAGCACGTTTGCGTCTGCACCTGTTTGCTGGTAATAATACTTTTCATACTTTGAGACCGAAGGTATCTTATCATATTGGTATTGTGCAATGTCCGTCATGCTGTTTGTCTGTCCGTCTGTCTGTTCGATATGGACTTTAAAAGTGGAACATTTACTGGTCTGTGCGCGCGTCAGACGAAGTGTAAAAATTTGAGTGCTACGCCCTAGTGGACGGCAAGGAAATCCATAAAAATCGATATTCGAAAATCGATAAAGCCTCATATCTCCCTCAATTTTTAAGCTTAAGTCACCACATTTGGTTAGCAGGTTGCTGGCAATGTCCTTCAAAGATCGGCATATGCCACACCCACCTTCGCCGCTCCCAGGTCTTGGATAGTTCTTCTTGGCTACACCCACCCTGTTCCTAGCTACCTAGCTCTTGTTGTACTTGTCGGACGAGTTTGACTGCATCATTCTTACTGGTTTAAATTAACACACTCTTAATATAATTTGAATCAACAATGCAGGACGAACAAAATGAAAACCTGATCAAACTTATGGACAAAGCTGCGAGAATCATACAGCGCTTCTTCCGTGCTGCTATGAACGTAAGTTGTGTCACATTAATATGATAAACTGTAATAGCTAATTATTTTTTTCTTTCAAGCGACATGACTTAAAAGCAGTAAGTTAACGAAAATCTATGATTCGCATTAGCAAAATTTATAATCGAAATTTGCATCTACCTAGATGGAAGATCCTTGCCAGGAAAAAGAAACTCCCTATTCCAAAAATGAGACTTCGTGGGATCCTGCCGTCGAAGCAGCACTTGCAGTAGACACTGCAGCCGGCACAGCTGCAACGCTGGCTCCATCTGAAGCTGCATTGGCTCCGGCTCAAGAGGAGAGCGCAGCCGAAACGGCACCGGATGCAGCTGCCACCGAAGAAGCGTCCGTTGGACCAGCCGTTGGTGCGGAGCCAGCTGCCGAGCCCGAGGAGCCCAAAGCAGAAGAAGCCGCAGAAGCTCCACCTGAGCCAGCAGTAGCACACGCTGAAGAAGCTGCACCACCGCCAGCTGAGGAGGCAGCACCACCACCAGAAGAAGCACCTTCTCCATCGGAAGAAGCACAACCAGCCGTGGAAGCACCACCAGCCGAAGAAGCACCGCCAGCCGAGGAAGCACAACAAGCCGAATAATGATGATCTGCCAGAATCTTATGTTTTAATATTTGTTAATCTCCAGTTGTCTAGATAATAGGGTTGCAGGGATTGCCCGTATTTAGCTTGTAAACTAGTTGCACGTGTAATTGTATGTTTAAATTGTCTAGTATTGTTGCCACAAATAAAAAGGCAGCTCCGCACAGACGCACAGATAACTTTGATATATCATACTTTGATCTCCGTGCAATGTCCGTCATGCTGTCTGTCCGTCTGTAAGAATGCAACTTTTTTCTAGGAACCGCCTTCAAAGATCGGCATTTTATGTTCTGTGGCACAGTTCTCAGATAGTTTTATTGCCAACATTTTCCTTTAAAGGGATTCTTTAATTTCTCAAAGCTGGCACAAGTACCACATAAATATATGTATTAAGCATATTCATAAGCGAGTAGAATGCATTCCGCAGGCCTAAGGGTATTCGCAGAAACTGATAAATATTTTATTCACATAATCTAATATCTTAGCTTTCATTAAACATCAACAAAATAGCGAACTAATTTTTATAAATGATCATATTTTACAAATCTTTAGGTCATATATATTTCAAATCTCTCAAAGCAGCTGAACTGTTTTGGTTGCCTCTTGTAAAAGTACTCGACAGCTGCCTTACGCGGTCGTCTCCACATGCTGCTGTATCCATTGCCTAAATGTCGACACTCTTGTATAGACATCGGGTACGATAAAAACACCGCATACCACCAGGCCATAAGACACCACTCCAACCTGTTTCAAACCATTGTTATTCCTAACAAGAGGACCACCAGAGTCACCCTAAATTAACATTAAAAAAAATGTTAGTATAACAATCTGATAAGAATCTTATTTTCTTACCGAACAAGCGCCCCGAAAGACACCCCTGGCACAAATCTCCGTTTCGGTGACATCTTCCATTCCCCGATTCCGACACTCCTGATTCGTAATAGTATTATAAGTCATGCGCTGAAGCGTATTCGGATAGTTGACACTATCCAGAATCGGAAGAGGCACAGGCAATCGCAGACCCCAACCGGTTAGGGTAACTGAAACACCACCGCCCACGAACTCCTCATCCGCATAATCAATGGCCGCCACGCTGACATCGTTGAAGACCAATGGTGGATCAATATTTAGCACGGCAATGTCACTGGTCACCAGCTCCTGGTAGTCGGGATGTATGGCATAGGACAACACTTGGGATCGAGAACCGCGCTGATCATCCAGGTTGCGTATGCCGGCCACAATGGACATGCGGGTCACATTGAAATCGGCGCAACAGTGAGCGGCTGTGAGTATGCGATCGGGCGCAATGATGGAGCCGCCACAATAGTGTCTGTATCCCTCGCTGGTAAGGTACTGCAGCGATACCTGGTACGGCACGTACTCCCCACTCGGCACATCCCCTCCGCCCACAATGCGAATGGGCGGAGTAATGTTGCTGGGCTGAAGTGCTGTTTGAGTATTAGGACACATATGTCTTTCACTCGGACTTTACTCCATCTACTCCTACTTCAACTTACAGTTGCAACGCGCCAGGACGCCAACCATTGACAGAGCTGTCATGCAAAGTAGTTGAATACGACCCATGTTTGTTTGGCTTGTGCCTCAGCTTTGGTTTAGACCTGAGCCTATATATAATTAGAGCTGACCTTCATTCGGACAAATTTACATATGTATCGCAAATATATTATTATTTTTTGCTTGGTACGCGACAGTTATGCCATTATATTTGAACTTCAAATTCCATTATTAATGAGCTTTCATGCTGGTAATTGGCATATGGCGCGTACTTCAAACTAACCCACTAAACTAAATTCGTTTGCTGATAACTTTCTGTTTGAGTGAATTACTGTGGAATAAATTAAGTTGGGTATCTTCAGCTGTTTAAACTGATAGAAAATATACGTTTGTAAGTAGTATATTTCGTGTGAGAAACTTAAATGATAATTGTATTCGTTATATAGATTATAAGCAACATTCTGTATTAAATATTTTTCTTACAATAAATGTTGATAAGTTTCAGCCTTGCTAAAGAAAACTTTAACAATCTTATTATTCAAGACTCTTATGAAATATAAATTTCAAGGAATGTGTATCACTCAGCATGCAATCAAAATCAGACTGCCTCTTCAGAGATAAGCAATGAGGTCCAGTCCAAGAGCGTCTGCAAGATGAAAGGAGTCCAAATATGTCTATTATATTATCAATTAGGCGGTATCGCAATTAGAATTATTAAATATAATTAGAGAAATACGAAATAAACCGAGTTTGAAGACTGTAAATAATCGTTTGTAGTCCAGATTTTTACTTTACCACTATTAATAATTTTATAATTTCATAAAATTTAAAACCAATAAGATGCAGATAGCGAATTTTTGTTTTAATATGAGCCATATGATATAGTTGCCTAAAAGTTGAACAATATATGAAAGCAGATTAAATTTAGCAACAGACTGAAAGGAAATGGACTTTGATAACTTAGTTTTTAAAGTCAACCAATAGAAGTATTCCTTGGGTTGTAGATGTGTTGCATAATTCTTGGACAAAATTAAAGTACTAAATGGAATATATATTGAGCACTCCGAGAATTATGCAATTTAAATTGTTTGTTTGGCTTGAGGTGGTTTTAAAAGCGACAGCTGGCAAGTATGCAATAAAAATACACATTTCAACTGCTTACAACTTACTTCAACTGGTTGCGAAACTGCAACAGAATAAATGGAATTAACTGGCATTAATTTATTGTCTAAAAACTTTATAAGGCAATTTTTATTTAGTTGGGGTAAATGTTATGTGAACCGGCTTTAAGCCATGCGCTCCTTGATCCAAGCATCAAACATGGAAACGCGAGTGTAGACATCGGGACTGTTGGAGGCACAGAAGGCAGTGCCATAGGAGACGACGCCAACCTGCTTGAGGGATTCCCCGTTGGCCATCACCAAAGGACCACCCGAATCGCCCTGAGTCAACGGAACACAAATGAAATATTGAAATATAAGCATATTTCTAACATCACTACTTACATTGCAGGCACCCTTGCCAAAACGTTCCAATGCACAAATCTCTGTATCCGTCAGCTGCGTCATGGTCTCCTTGCATTTGCCATTATCCAGCGTTTTATATGACAGCTTCTGGAGTACGGTTGGATACTTGGCAAAGGGTCCAGTGCCAAAGTGGAAAACGGAACCCCATCCGCTTAGTAGCACTTCCTGATCAGCGCCGACGAGCTCATTGCTGCTCACATCGATTGGGCTGACGCGTTTGCCATCCATTTCAAACGGTGGATCGATTTTCAGTATAGCTATATCGCTGGTCACCAGCTCCTCATAGTTTGCGTTCATTTCATAGGACTGCACCTGCGAGCGATAGCCACTTGTATCCTCCAGATCCCTTATGCCAGCCACGACGCTAATCCTGCTTGCATTCTGGCCATTGACGCAGTGCGCCGCTGTAAGAACTCGATTCGGTGCTATGAGAGATCCACCGCAAAAATGTCGCATTTTGCCGTTGCGCGTTAGGAACTGCATGGATATCTGATACGGCACATACTCATCTGCGGGCACATCATAGCCGCCAACAACGCGCTCCTGCGAATTGCCATCCACGTTGTCAAAATATGCGTCCACTGTATGAGGATTGGGTTACTATCGGCACTCGGAAGATAACTTTAACAACTTACAGTCGATGACACTGTTCATGGCTTTTCCAGTAGTCAACACAATTGAGCCCAACAGCAAGACGAATGTCAATCGGGCTTCCATGGCGTTTGTGTTTGGTATGTTTTATTTTCGAAGTGGAACTTTGTTTTGCGTGTACTGAAGCTAGCATCGAGTCTTTTTATACGTTGCATTTTGGCTCATTAGAATTTTATCGAGGCGGTAGCTGTGGGTGGTCTGACCGCAAATAATGGTTAACAGGGCCATCATGCATTGGATAGCGATAAACTTGTGGGTTAACCTTATTTTGAATTTTAATCTAGAAGTTCACAGTTTGATACTCAACAAGTTAGTTGCAAGTTGTCCGCCTGTTAAATTAGTTTATAAAGTCATTAATCAAATATAGTAGGCACCTGCCATAAATGATACCACTTTGTTTAGGTTTATAAATGACTTTATTAACAGGTGGCTAAATAATACTTGCATCTACATGTATAATATTTTATTCTGGTTTTATAGTTAGCTAATGTCAAACGAGATTTACCAAGTGCGTTGGAAATTACTGCAAAATTTAATAAGAGCTGTCGTCAAAGTAGAGAACAAAGCCTAATGAGTTAACATGGGGATTAACCTGTCAAGTAACTCGGCGAACTCGCATGCAAATGCTGTGCAGCAGCTAAAAATAAAATCTGAAGATAAGCCCTGTCACGTTATTCGGCTTTGCAGGGTGGTCCAATTAACATAAGGTGGCAGACAGGGGGCGCCAACATAGCCAGCACATCCAACAAAGGCAATGCCTCCGTTAAAGACATAGGTACATTCTGCCCAAAAATAATAAAGCCATTTCGAGTTCAAATCGGTTCGAAGTCGGCAGTGAGCAGCCAATAGCCAACAGCCAACAGCCAACAGCCAACAGCAAGCAGAAGCAGCAAAGACAGAGCCAACAATTAACACAGTAGTCAAAAGATCAAGACCTCAACATGCGACTCCAAGAAGCGACTCCCCAGAAACGCAAAAACCGAGTGAGGTGTGCATAATTAATTTGCGCCAGTCGCCAAACACACCACACACAGCACAGCAAAATGATTCATTAGTTGGCGAGCAATCAGGCCGGAACTGACACATGGTAAGGAGCTGCTGGCTCACAGAGATAGCCACAGCCGCAGCCGCAGCCGCATCCACAGTCAAAACCAGAGTCAGAGCCTGTGGCCGCCCAGACATCGGCAAGACCCGAGTTGATTTGCATCGAACATGTGAGCTGCCCAGATAGCCACACACAGCAAAACAGAAGGAAAAAAAACTGCAACCAAAAAGGTGTTGATTGCCAACTGGCAACTGCCAATGTTCCAATGCTCCAATTGCCCGAAATAACCCGCCTCCCTACACCATGGGTAACCCTTTCCACATCTCCGTATTCGGCCTGCAACAATGAATTAAAAGAAATGTCCGCAGCCAGCACAGCAGCTTGTTTAATCGGAATATTTAAATAATTCATTGATTAAAACTGCAGCCAGATCAAGCTGCAGCTACTCACAGGTACTACACCCCCAATGCCCTCTCCCCCACTCCACACCCTCTTTCATCGTACTTCAACTTGGGGCTGTGTCTGTGCGCTTGTCGTTTCAATTTGGTTGTAGGTGTAGCGTCTGGCAAGCAGTCAGGCAGTCAGGCAGGTAGGTGCCATTCCCAGGAATTGAGGAAACTGCTCTTCCTGCCGGTCCATCTCCAACTCACCCCCCTAAGCTGCCTACCTTTTATTTCGTTGTCTGCCGTTTGAGTGTGCGAAATGCCACCCAAAATGAGACCCTCAAAGAGCTGCATATTATGGCATGTACATACAACTTCTTGAGTATATTATTTTGCTTTATAAAAAACTAGCTTTTAAACTAATCAATATTTTAGAGAGGAAAATGCCATTACACTGTCAGAATTAAAATATGGCAGTTTAAATTTGAATATAAAAAATAATAACTTAAAACTTGAATTTCTCATTTTGTTCACCAGACGTATTCTCAAATGTTGACGCTTATTTAATATAAATAAAAAGGCCTGCATAATGTTGAAAATAATTCGGAAAAAAGTTATTATTTTTCTTTGAAGTTGATTACAATCTAGAGAAACGATGACAGGTAAGTAACCAGACATATAAACAGACAAGTAATTAAAAATATATATCTTATGCAAAATAAAATAGCCTTGTGCCTTAAAGCTTAGACCGAATGTATTCAATTAATAAATAAATTAATAATAAATAAAATAATTATTCAAAAAATGCACTCACATTCAAGTCTTAGATTCCATCTGCTTGATCTCTGGATTGGGTCACAGTGGGACAACTGTTGCCGCCTGCTGTTAGGCTGTGCGTGCTTGATAGCCATAAGGAGATCTTGAATATGAGATGCTGCAATCATAATCTCAGTGGCTTGACAGAAGCGCCTACCTGTTGTCATCAATTAGGTAACAAGCACACGCGACCGATAAATATTACAAAGGAGGGGCAGCAGGGTATCATGGTATCAGTATCCGTAACCGTTTCTACAAATGGTTCAAGCTGCTTGCTGTGATCTCAGATTTCTTATCTGATTTGCAAATAAAAATGTATTTCATTTGGCCCCGTCGAAGGACCACTTAGAGAGATCTGAGCCGGGCAACAGCCCGGCTGACTCGACTGCAGTCATAATTTATAGTGTTTGCGCAGTGTGTATGCGTGCGAGTGAGGGGGATGGCAGAGATGGGGGCAGTGCTCCTTGTGGTGATGGCAAATTAAGTACTAAAATAAACGACCAATTTACTGATTATTCAAAACATGCAATTAATTTTCCACACTCCACATTTGTTCCAAATCTTCTACACTTGGCATTAACTAAACTTGTTATTGTTGATGTTCCTGGTTTTGTTGTTGTTGTCGATTCGTCTCTCGTAACGAGTGCGAAAATTAATTGCTGCAACAAATGGAAAATTTATTTAAAATCGCGTTGACTTACAGGCATGTAAAAAATTCCAGCATAGGGCTACCATTAATTTATTATCTATAACTGCAGCTTGACTAATTTGCATATAACCCTAACTAATGAACATCAAAGTCTTAACGTCTTTTTTTAACTGTGCTTGCTGAACTTATTTACTGATGATAAGCTTATTAAAGTTATTTTATTAACTGTAATTTAAAGCTGCAAATTTATAATTAGTACGTTTTCACTCTCACTTTCACTTTCCATAACTTTCATAATAATTTTACGGAAGTGAATCTCTCCCCAAAGATAATTTTTTTAAAAACTTTTCCTTTTTTACACAAATCTGCAATTCTTTGAATTTCTTACAAATATCGCATAAAAACTGTATAATATCTTGCCTAAAAGGCATTAATTGTTTCATTGATAAATTAAAAAATAAATGAATTAAAATATTATTTTAAAATAACTTCAAACGTTTTATACGCTTTAAAAATATATGTAGTTGAACTTCATTTGTTTCGTTTATTTAACAAAGTTTCACTTTAAACAAATAATTTTTTCATTTCATTTGTTTTATACAAATACTTTTCTGATCATAATGGATCCAGGACTGCCTGTTAACTGAATATGGCATATTTGTTGTTGGCGTACACATCATCTTTCGACCGGGTATAAAAATATATTTTTTTTAATGTTCCTAAAATTCGATATTCATAAGTGAAAGACCGCTTCAAACAATTAAATACTTAAAACTGAGTTGGCTACTGTAAATGTGAATGTCCAGTTTAGAGCTGCAATGTTTGGCCATAAAATGAGCGGCTTTGCTTTAAGAGCCGACATAGTATAAATCACATTGAAGACAACACAAAAACTGCGGCTTAAGCACCGTCAGCCAGGCAATAAAAGTTGTAGTCTGAATATTTTCTGTATTCTGGTTTTTTTTTGTGTCTTCTGGGTTGGCCACACGCACAATTCTGCAGAAGTTGGCCCTGGCGAACAAGGCTGAGAATGAGGCGTGCAATCAACCAAAATGTCATAATAATGATGGCGTTCCATGCGGCCGGCACAGACAGGATGCTTATCTTGTTAACACCGTACCTTTAGCCGGCTGGCGTTAACTGTGAGTTGCGAGTCCAATAAAAAAACAACAAAAAAAAAAAAACAAAATCGTGAAATGAGTCCGTCAGTTTCCGCTCCACCTGATCTGATGGACTTGATTATGAACTACATTTCGTTAGGAAGAATTTTGAGCTGAGGTACGGAAAATGAATCCAAAGAATTGCTATGCAAAGTGAATTTCTTTAAGAATTGACAGGAATTAATTAAGATTTTGAAGTGAACTGAGTTTGATTTAATGATATTATATAAATATATATTCATAAACACATTTGTTTTAAATAAATCTCTACATACTGATTACAACATTTCACTGCACATTACAAATTTGTGAATACTTTTTATAGAATTCAACTCCTTGGCAATTAGTATTAAAGAGTATTGTTATTCAACCTTAAGCTTTAACCTTGAATTAAGTAAATAAACTTGAATTTTATGGGTATTCGTTCAATTAAAACAGATCCAACCTTTACCTTGATATATTTAAAAGATCATGCGACTATGATCATATTTCTCTTATCTCTATTTAAAGAAGTGAATATATTTAAATATATTATACAATTTGTTGGCGAGAGTTTATCTCAGTAAGCGCAAGATAAAGATACAAGTGGCGCATCCGAAAGATGAATTTTGCATAAAAGCTGCTTCTTTATAGATTGCCAGACATTCGTTACGTATTGACAGACAAAATGCGAGTAAAATATCAACAGCTATTGAAGATTTGCCTTATGGCCCAACTCTACCTGGTTCTAGTTGGCGCTGATGAATTGGAAAACCAATCCATAGCTAGTGTGGAGAATGAAGTGGATACATTGAATGCAACTCGCATCAATGGCGGTCAAGTAATGAACGAGCCGGTGCCCTTCCAGGTGTCCATGCAGATGCGGCGCCGTGGCAATCGCTGGATTCACTTCTGCAGTGGCTCTATAATCAGTCAGCAGCATGTCCTGACGGCGGCGCATTGTGTTGACAAGCTGAAGGCGTCGGACATTAGCGTTTTGGGCGGCACACTCAACTGGAAGGCAGGCGGGCATCGTCACTATGTTGTTGCCAAGCATGTGCATCCACAGTACACACCGAGCTCACAGATTATCAATGATATTGCTCTCCTGCAAGTTAGTCCGCCATTTAAACTACAGCTGGCCGAGATTGGCACTGTTCATCTAGGTGACAGTGCACCCATTGGGCGCCAAGTGCCAGTACGAGTCACCGGCTGGGGTTCAACGACGCCCACCAGTGCAGGCGCTACGGTGCCGGATCAGCTGCAGGTGCTCAACTATCAGACCATTTCGAATGAGGAATGCGTTCGCAAAGGTTTTCGCGTCACAGCCAATGAGATTTGCGCTTTCTCAGCGCCCGGCCAGGGCTCCTGCTATGTAAGTAATTCGTAATGCTCACATTTGCTAAGCTATTTACATGAAAGCTTTTCCACATTTGCACAGGGTGACTCCGGTGGTCCGCTGACCATGACCAGAGGCGGAGGGCGGCAGCAGCAACTCGTGGGCGTTGTCTCCTATGGCGGTGCAACATGCGCCCAGGGTAAGCCTGATGTTTATACGCGTGTGTCCCGCTTCTTGCCCTACATCAACAAAATCCTTGACCAGGATCTAAAGAATGCATAATCAACAAATTACTTTGTGCTCATATTTTGAATACCTGCACTTTGTTTCAATAAAGTTGTGCCAATGACCCCATAAAGAAGATATTTTCATGATAAGCATTAACAGCTGCATTGATATAGTCATTTATATCTTGCGGATCTCAGAGACTATAATAACTTGATAGCTGGATTCGAGAATGTATTGCTTACACAGATTCGACAATTATTTTTGGCATATCTGGTATGAATCAAGAGCATTCTATCTGAAATGTACATTTTAAATATGTTCTCGTACATCACAAAAATTGAAATTAAAATATTGATTATGATTATCACACAGGGAATATATAAAAATCAATATACCACGGTGTTAAGTTCGAGGATGAAAATCGGTTTTTCAGCGAGTACAGGGTATATACTCGGTCCTTCACTTTCGATTAGAACAGTTTTGTATATTTGTTGTTGTTGTTGTATTTTTGGCGGCTAATTAAAAATCTTGTTCAATATTCGCCACAGTCAGTGGCAGCATCTTCATCTCGGCCCTAGGCCTAGCCCTCCTAGCTAGTGTCTGTGGCTGTGGCTGTGTCTGTGCCTGTTTGTGGCTCTGACTCTGACACTGGCTTGGCTCCAGCTTTTGGCCCGCACTGTGCCGACCATGATAAATGCAAAAAGCAATTTATCGCACATTTAACTCAATTCAGTTTCTTTATGGGCAGCCACAACGAACGGGTAGGAAGAGAATGGGGATGGGGGAGGAGGAAGGAGGGAGAAGGGGTTGCTCTGTGGCTGGGGGCATGCCTGCAAACCAGTCAGCCAGCTAGCTGCAGACAAAGTTTCGCTGACACGCACGCTGCATGGACTGTGAGCTTGCAGCTTCTCCTTCTCTGTGCACCATGCTCCCTGCTGCATGCCACCATGGTCCGTAGGCCGTGGACCGTGGCGAGTCATTGCGCGCATCTCTTGTAATTCGATATTAGATTTTATGTGCGACAAATACGAAGTGCAAACATTTTTATGTTCCCTCAATTTCTATGCTGCATTCGTATTTGTAGTGGAACCAAATAGATGCCACAGATGCGCCTCTAAACAGCTCTGCTTTCCTTTTTCCATAATTAAGTTTCGAATAATGTAAAGCTCACGCTTTTCGATTTTGTTTAACTCATTTACTTACACCGATCTACAACTATCCAGCCAGACTATATACGCTAACAGCTGGTTAACAGCACTTTTATTAATGGAAAATCAGTTTGAATATTATTTAGATTAGTTTGATGATTTCTAAATATGAATAAGTTATAAAAGGTTTTAAGTTACGTGAAAAAAAATTATTTGAACCGATTCGGTAATAAGTTGAATAAGTTTTTACTCAATGAAAATATTAAAAATAACACAATTCCCGAAATTAATTTAATGGGCCTTAAGTTTAAAAATGTTTTCAAAGTTGAAGTAAATAAAAAAATTCCGCAGCAGAATCGTAGTTAGATATAGATAATTAGAGTATCTTCTTTTATCCATACCATTTTTCATTTTGACTTCCCTGTTTAATAATAGGATTCAATTCAATTCAGTTTTCCAAGCTCATATTAAACAATTTTTCATTAAGTCACACTGTTTGTATACCATTAAATAGTATGATAAATCGGTATTTTGCTTCCGCTCTCGCTAATTGTTAGAACAAAAAGTGATTGAGTCTAGAATTATTCATGGCGTTGCATATGAATATGAATATGAACAATTGTGAGCGGGCAACTTAGTGCGAGTTGTGGAGTGGAATAGGGGCAGAAGGGGGTGTCAAAAGAGAGCGGTTGCATTTGTTAGACGCTCGTAGCTGACCGCATAAATTCATTTAGATCAATCAATTCAATTTGTTTGTCAATAAAAAGCTAAATGAGTATTTCATTTAAACAAATTAAAATTCGACCCATTTGAATGTCGCGCAACAAAATTCCGACTCAACCAGCTCAACTGAACCCGAACAACAACAATTAAAATTGACGGGGAATATGACTGGGATTGGGTCTGACAACTGGGACTGGTACTGGTACTCGGACTGAGTCTGGAACTGAAACTCAGACATAAACTGAAGCCTGATATCTGGCTTCGAGTTTGAGTTTGAGTTCGAGTACTCAAGATGGTGTTGTATGCAACTACACAAATTTATATATATGCGTCTAGAGTGGCTTTGTCTCTGGACAGCCTTTGTTGACTTTTCATTGTCAATTAAAATCAAATAAATTTATTTGCTGCTTGACATTCGCGTTTCGAGCTCTCTCGCTCTCTGTACGAATTTCGGTTCTGATTCTGATTCAGATACAGATTCAGATTGCGAGTCTCGTGTTTGTATTAAACAATATATTATTTTGACCTTCTTCTTGTATTTATAGCAATTTATTTGGCTGCGACTGTCGCAAATGTGTCTAACCTTTGACCCCGCTCACAAATCAGTTAACCATTTACTTTGCCTTGCCCTCCTTGGCCACATCTTCCATCGCTTTCTTCACAGCTTCGGGATCACCAAGGAATTTCATAGGCGACACAGCCTCCATGCAACTATCCAGCTCGTAAACAAAGGGCATGCCCGTCGGTAGATTCAGATTCATAATATCCTTATCGGATATATTTTGCAAGTGCTTAACGATGCCACGCAGACTATTGCCATGTGCAGCTATAATCAGTCTCTTGCCCTGTCTTATTTGGGGCACAATGATATCGTTCCAGTAGGGCAGAGTTCGTTCGATGGTAAGTTTGAGGGATTCCGTTTTTGGAAACTCGGAGGATTTGGGCTCGTCACAATAGCGCGGATCCTTCGCAATGCATTCGTAGTACTTGTGATCCTTCTCCATGGGTGGAGGCGGCGTATCGAAACTGCGTCGCCAAATTTTCACCTTTTCCTCGCCAAATTTTTTGGCCGTATCCGCCTTGTTGAGACCCGTCAGGCCGCCATAATGACGCTCATTGAGGCGCCACGATTTATGTACGGGTATATCCTCTTGCCCAATCACTTCCAGCACCAATTGGAGTGTATCCTGGGCGCGTGTTAGCATCGATGTGTACGCCATGTCAAACTTTAGATTGGCATCCATGATGGCCTTGCCTGCAGCGCAGGCTTCCTTGCGCCCCTTCTCAGTCAACTGGGCATCGTACCAGCCACAGAACAGATTCTTCTCATTCCAGTCGGATTGACCATGCCGCAACATGACTACTACATAATTCTCACACTTGTCGGAGTATAGCCTCTGAAGTTGCAGGCTCGAGCATTGAGGATTTTGCAACAAGTTTACTTTGCTGGGTTTGCCTCCATGGTTTAAACACATTAGTGGACCATTCCAGCACAGTTTCGCTAAAGCAGCCATCACTTATAATTTAAATTAAAAGAATAAAAAAAAGACAAAAAGTGTCCAGGCCTGGTTTGAATATATTGAGAATCGTTGCCTACTTATACTCAGATACTGAAAATTAGATATAATTTCCTAAAAATATTACTTTCCTTATTCATATTTTAATTTTAATTTTTTTTTTTTAAATTCAAATTGGAGAAAATTTTGAAATCTTTTCCTGATCTTTTCTGATCATAAATCATGAAGTTTTAACAAACAAAAGATTGTAAAATATTATTATAAATGTTAGGGTACAATGCACAAATCATTAATTAAAAACTGTTAAATATTTATTTTGTTTTTAACTTCCTCCAACTTCTAACAATCTGTAAAAGTTTAGTTAAATCATTTTAAACATAAACCAAATGACAGCTCAATGAAAACTGTCCAACTGAATGAGCCCAACTGATGTCAAATGCGAGCAAAAAAAAAGAGACAAGTAGGAATGCTGTAGTCGAGTAAGCCCCCACTTCGATATACTCTGTGAAATATATTCTAGTTTAATTTCCCCTTTTCCGGAGGGCAATTATCGATAAAAAATAAAAGCTTGATTTGCGCGGGGAGAGAAGAGAACTTAGATTCCAAATTCAAAGTATATAGTCCCTTATAGTCTTTGAGATCCGCGTGTTAATACAAAAGGACAGACAGATACACGGATAAACAGAAATGGCTATATCAACTTGGCTGTTTCTCCTAAATAAGAATATACATAAAGTTTCAGAGATCGTAGATACTTCCTTCTGACTATTACATTCATTTGCAGGAAATCATGATACCCTTTTTAGACATTTTCTATGTGTTCAGGGTATACAAATAAAACAGCAAATTGGGCAAGAGACAACCGAGATATATGTTGGAATATGTGGGCCTGCATCGGTATTGCTGGAGCGATCCGCAGCAGAAGCAGAAGCAGCCATAAAGAGCTTTTACGACCGCCACTATGCGGCAGCTCGCATGATAAATTGTCGACTGTGGTCAGTATTGGTGCTGAAGCTGGTCGACAAGTTTTCACTGACGGCGACACCAGCGGCTACCACCTAAAGATCGATGCACCACCGCCACCACCACCACAAGCACCACCTAGACGCGTTCACCAGTCGGCGCAGAGAGATTAGACAATTTGTAGAGGAGATGGGGACCGTTTTTTTATTTTATTATTTTTTACCTTGCCTGCAAGCGCCAGCACGGGCCAATGGGGCCATGTGGAATGGCATGTGGAATTGCTGGTCGCCAACTCTTTACAGTTGCTTTGTGTTAATTGAAAATTGTACTGTAATATTGCTTATCGTTTCGCTATCAGACGACGTCGTCGTCATCGTCGTCGTCGTCTCCCATGCTCGGGCTCTCTCGGTTTGGTGCTTGCGTGTTGCATGATGGTCCATGTTCATGCATGGTGCCACACCTTGAGGCCTCACGCATTGGCAGAGGTGTTTGATAAATATCCAGAGTCATGTCATAGGAGTTTTTATACCCTGTCCCATATATCTTGAAGTTGGTTAGAATTCTCTGACCAATCAATCTTTATAAGCTCCTTCGTCTGAGAGACTAAATAAACTTGAGATTTATATTAAAATGTAGATTTATTGCTCAAGAAGATTAACAGGTAACAGTAGATATTATACCACACACCCGTTTATTGAGCATGTCTTGGAGATTATGAATCCATATTTAAATATATATTTATACATATATTGAGTCGCATGCTTAGATTTACTATATTAGATACATTTCCCCCTGAATATGATAAAAACACATTTTTAGTTTTTAGCTTTTAGATTTGATAAATAGACAACCACTAATTTTTGTACAGGGTATGCTCCGACGAAGACTGTTGACTACTCTTAAGTGTTTGTTTTGTTTGTTTTTTTTTTGGGTTTCGTGGCTTGGGGTGAAAATTTCTCAAACGCTTTTGACAACTTTCATGTGAACGCACTTAACAAAATTTATCGCACCACGCATTATTTGTGGCTTTAATTGCTTATGGCCGTTAAGAAGTTGTCCTCCAGCTTCTTGTCGCGCTTCTTTGGGCCGCTCTTCCTACCTCTCTCTCTTTTTCTATTTCGATCTCTCTCTTTCCTTGTCTCTCTCTCTCTCTCTCTCTCTCTCTCTCTCTCTGTGCCTCTGTCTGGCCTGACACCTGCGGCTTTTGGGGCTTAGCCTTCTAAGCAGGGCCTTAAATGCGTTAGTAGTTGACACGATTCGAGGCTTAATTGCTTTTACAAAATGATTGATGATATTCGAGAGTATCGAGAGTAATCATGTCTATTAATGGAACAAGACTTACGCATTGCATTGCAGTAGGTTCTGAAAGGTTTCTGTGGTCTCAAGCTTTTCTTGATTAAGTTAGTTCTCTGTATATAAAAAATAATTATACATATTGTATTGTAATTATAACACTTAAAGGCAAACAAAATATGAATAATAATAATAACTTTACGTATCTTCTGTTTTTCACTCAAGTTAATATCTATAATTGTTTAGCCAGACTGAGCCTAACTCGTCAATCATATTCCGTAATCAACTTTTCTTTTGGTCAAAAAATCAAATGGCGCTTACAATTACGAAAATTTTCAACTGACGCGTGAGAGGGTCAAAAGTTTTCCACACTCAGTGAATGGCTGAAAGGAGATGTGAGTTGACTGGAACTGAGACGGGAAGTGGGAGCGAAATCGAAACCAAGACCGAGACCCCAAATAGGAGTCGGCAACCAAACAGTGGCTACTGCACAGCTGCAGATGAAATTGAGATGCAGTTGCAACTGCAAAAACACACATGAATAAACATATACACGCACACACTCACACACACACACACACTCACACACACACACTCACACACGTTCCACGGCCACGAACTTTGCTCGCTTAACCTCTTGTGGTTCCTGCTGCTGCTGTTGTTGTTGTTTGTTGAATTTCGGCTCGTATTGCTCGTACCTGTGGCAATTTGAGCACCTGGTGGCAGCAACAGCAGCAGCAGCAGTTCTCTCTGTTATTGCTGTTGCAGGCTCACTTGTGCAACTCACTCCTCGCGCATTGAACTCATTTTCCGTTTTTCCCCGGCTAATTTGATTTGTCTTTGCGTAAATTGAAAATGAGCCTCCCAAGGATTTATTTCATATAATGCGATTTACATATATGTAGAGTAATTTACAACACCTGCATTCACTTATAATGTGCTCGTATGTTTCGCATTTAGATTGATATTCCAATTTGAAATCAATGCAAATTATGCAGATTGATTGCAGCTGGAAATGCAACTGGTTGCAATATTGAATGGGAATATAGTAACAAATATTATCTCTCAATTATTATCAACCTAAATTTTACTTTGAAAGCTGAATAAATATTTAAAAATATACACATGTACCTTATATTATTTGAAGAGACTAGTCTATAAATAATATTCAGCGCGAAATGTTTTTTAGATTTGAATTTTGTTATCAAATTTAAGACAAGATTTAATCTGAAGTTAAATTGTTGATTATTAATTTATTTTTAACAATCTGACAAGAATAATAAAGTGTATTAAAAAAGTAATACTAAATTTAATATAATCGTATCCAAGTTCCTTCATTAACTTAATTTGTTTTCTGTGATTAACGATGATTAGATGGTCAACAAATTAATATTATATAATTGAATAATAATTAAATACATTTATTTCCATTATTATGCAATTTTCTATTTGTTTGGCTAATAGTTAAGGTAATTGTTTGAACAGCTAATCGTTAGAAATATACACATGCAACTGACCATAATAATAGACAGACGCAACTCAGATTCATATGGGAATCAAACATTTCTGCTGATTTGAAGTTTCGCATGTTCCCATCGAGCAACTCAAGAAATTAGTCGAACTATGCAGCTCGTAGGCCGCTGCATGCAACCAAGTCCGAATTTAAGAAAGCAATTTCAGCTACCCACCTGCCTCCGCCAGTTCCTGCCTCCTCCTTGCTCTTCAGCTGCTGGTGCAGCTCGCAGATGGAGCTGGAGCTGAGCAAGGGGAAGTGGCGCTGCCATTGAGCATCGTTCATGTGGGTGTGTGAAATAGGGCTGCAAGCTCTATAAAGAGCTATGGCTATAGCTATCCAGAGATGCGACTGCGTGCTGGACATGAACATGGCTAAGGGGGCGGGGCGTTGCGGGGCAGAGCAGTTGCGGTGCAGTGCGGTGCGGTGCGGTTCGGTTTGGTTCGGTTCAGGTTGCATTACGTTGCGCTCAGCATGCGATTTCATTTTGATAATAATGGCAAAGTCAAATAATTATAATGATCATGATTACAATCATCGATGCTGGCAGCGGCTCTTTGGCCATTTGGCTGTGGCAACAATTCTGAGTGAGACTGTTCCTGTTGCTGTTGCTGTGGCTGTGGCTGCATCATCAACGCAGCAACTTGGCCAAATGACTAAGCAATTTACCGTTTTTGTATAGATTTCAAAGCCTTGCCTGTTTGCCCCCACCTACTGCGGCAACCCACCCACCACCACCTCTGCCCCTGACCATGGCCATGACTGCAATTCAACTGTGCAACGGGCGCATCTTCAATGAAATTTCAGGTCAATTGTCTTCTGTGGCTGCGTCTACAGCCAAACTATGTGAGGCCTCAGAGACTGCATCTCTGAGTACGACTCTGACTCTGAGTCTGCCACAGTCCCAGTCTCTGCAACCGACCGCAGTCGCAGCTTTTGCCAATTTCTATTTTCGTGCTGAATTGTACACAATGTGTATTTTTGTGTGCAAGGTTTATGTCTTGATACCCTAGCTGAGTGTACTATGATATTCTAAGGAAACATGGATGGCATGCCACAGCCGAGTCTACAAGGTAAAGGATCAACTGGGCAGGCAGCTTTATTCATATTTTACAGATCTTTGAGAATTATTGGTATTTTTATCAGAGATCAGTTGAAAATGAAATTCAACTTGTGATTAAGTGCATAATTCAGCTAAGTTTATGGGATAACTTTCGTAATGATAGATTGTATTTTGATCTAT